TTTCCAACTGCCATACAGGAGCATTTCTTTTTTTTTTTTTACTTTCCAGCTTCATCTGATAAAATGGGAGTTTCATTCACCTTTTCATGTATCTTGGAATAGCCATTAGTAAAACAATAGGTGTTTATCTAGCTTCTGAGCCAATATACCAACTTGACATTTTCTTGTGTTTTCTTTGGCAAAGTGTCATGCACTCAATTACAGGACAATCTATCCTTCCCTTTTAATAATTGGGAAAGCAAACAGAAGTTGTAGGTGTATTGTTCTTTTCATTGTTGACTGTTGCCGGATGCTGAACTTCATTTTAAAAAAGCAGCATGAAGTTTTTACTCTACAAACAGAACAGGAAGAAGATCCGGCAGGGGTTTGTGCACGGTAGTGGAATGTATTGTATTTTTAAGCAGGACTTATATTTTTTCCTTTTTGATTGAAGATTCTCTTTTACCTGTAGATGTATCCAGCCCTTCTTGATAATAAAAGATAAGGATACCACATGCTTCAGGATATATGTTTTCTTCAGTCATCAGTCACTATAACTGAACTCTCCATTAACTGTTTTTCCTAAATGGTGGCTCAAGCTAAATTGTGCACATTTCCTAGTGTTTTGCAATACCAATTGTACAATTACAATTCCTGGCGGTAATCCCGAGTGTGGCTCGGGGGTAAATTTTCCATGCCACGAACACGCCACACTCGAGCGTCTTCCGGGTTCCTTCCCTGAGAGCGCCAGCATTGCAGGGGGGTGGAACCGGCGAGAAATTCAAAAGTGAAAAATAGAAAAAAAAAATACTGAGATAATCATACCGCCAGGGAGGTTAAGCAATAGCTATAAATGTGTGTTGCTGGTAGTATGTGAACATTGGGGCCTATTCACAATATGTGTTGTGGTAATGCAGAGTCAAATGTATACCACAATTCACATGGGATTGTGAAACAGCTGTGTATTTTCATGTGTTATGTTAAAAAAGGTTATACAGGTGAAACTCGAATAATTAGAATATCGTGCAAAGTTCATTTATTTCACTAATGCAACTTAAAAGGTGAAACTAATATATGAGATAGACTCATTACATGCAAAGCAAGATAATTCAAGTCGTGATTTGTCATAATTGTGATGATTATGGCTTACAGCTCATGAAAACCCCAAGAACCCCAAATCCACAACCTCAAAAAAGTAGATTATTACATGCAATCAATAAAACAAGGATTGTACATAGAACAATATCGGACCTCTGAAAAGTACAAGCATGCATATGTACTCAGTACTTGGTTTGGGCCCCTTTTGCAGCACTTACTGCAATTACTTTTGCATGATATTCTAATTATTCGAGTTTCACCTGTATGTCCTTGAGGTGTCATGAGGTGACGAGGGAGCATGAAGCCGGCTTCCCGGCCAATCAGAAAGCCGGGGCGCCGCATCATTACACGACGCCCGGCTTCCTGATTGGCCAGTTTCCTGACCAATGAGGAAGTCGGGCAGCGATTCATTATACGGACACATCTGCCCATATTTGGCAGATGTGTCTGTAAATATTGGCAAAGTAAAGGGTTGTCATAAAGTATTCTAAAGGCAAAAAAAAAATGTTTTGGATAGTGTTGAGGGGTTAAAACTATGGATGCACTGATACCGGTATTTCGGTATTGAGTATTATTTTTTCAGTACTCGCTGATAACGAGTACCGAATGTCCCATTCAGGAAGCCAGGCGGCGTGTAATGACTCGCCACCTGGCTTCCCGATTAGCAGGGAAGCCGTCCCCATGCTTCTCGTCACTATGTTGCGAGAAAGCATGGAGCCGGCTTTCTGGCCAATCAGGAAGCCAGGCGCTGTGTAATGATGCGGCACCTGGTTTCCTGATTGGCCGGGAATCCGGCTTCATGCTCCCTTGCCATGAGGTGACGACGGAGCATGAAGTGTAATGACGTGCTGCCAAGCTTCCTGATTGTCCGGGAACCCGGCTCCATGCTTCCTTGTCACAGGTGACGAGGATCACCCAAATGAGACACAAATGTGTGTTGCTGGTAGTATGTGAACATTTGGGCCTATTCACAATATGTGTTGTGTTGTAATGCACAGTCAAATGCATACCACAATTCATATGCCGTTGTGATGCGCTGTGTTAAAAAAGGTTATATATATATCCTTTAAAATATACTTTGCAATGTGTGTACAGCACATTTAAAAACAAATGGGTTGCCTTACTGAAACACACATTAATGCAATGCATTACTCAATCTAAATGGACCCTTTTAGCTTTAGAATGACTTATGTTGTGCAGCTCCAAAATTGCAAATGACAATAGCTGACAATGGCTGAGCCATTCTTCAAGAGGAAGTGGTGGAAGATGGGCTCCCTGGCATGACATCCAAACAGTTCTGCTTGTAGGTGGGTCAAAGATACCCCAAGGGTCAGTATGCCATTGCTGTATAAAGAGTCACTTTATCATTGATCAGTGACTCCAAGCATTGTCACTTCATATATGTGACATACAGCAAATCTAAGAACCTTAAAAGCAGATTAGGATTCTCCACTTGGGCACAATGCATCACTCACAGGAGATGAAGGGAGATCACCCAAATGAGACCCAGCTGGCAAAAAACTGACAGTCATTTTAACCCATATCCTAAGTAAAAAAAAAAAAGTTTGTGCTTTAGATATACTTCAAGTAATGCCAGGATGATAAAGAAAGTACAGTTGCTTTTTATGTATTTTTGTACTGGAGTGTTCCTTTAAAAAAGTCTACTGACTACAGTCACTCCAGCCTTCCAGCTATCAGTCATTGCGCATTGCTCCAGCATGCCAATAGTCTGGCAGTGTTTTGTATATTTAATTTCTTACTATGTATTATCAGTCAGCAACTGTAGGTGTTGTCTTCCTCTTGGCTGACTTCTGAGGCAGGAAAGTCTGAATGATAAGATCCCTTTCTTACGAATCTTACTAATGTATGTGTAATCACAGCTTGGTTTTCTAGGAAACTGGAAGCTGACACATCTAAATACCATGACATACCATTATAAAGCTCTAAGATCATTACAGCTTTCTAACAGAGTCTCTCGTCCAGTATATTCAAAAACAGGCAGAAATGTTTACAGTGTATGTTCAGCCAAAACGTTCTTCTTGGATGGAATGGTAAAGGATTGGAACCCTTGTCAGGTTTTCACTTTTATGCGGGGCTCACTTCCTTTCCTGCTGACAACATTTTACCAGATAGGAAGTGAAAGTGAAGAGAAATATACATACTTTTTTTCTTTCTAGTTGAAAAGGGGAGGGCTAAGGTCTGGTTCACACCTGGGTGTTTTGTAGCGCGTTTCTACGCTCTGCAAAAGGCTCAAACACCGAAAGCCCATTATTTCCTATGGGTATGGTTCACACCTGGGCGTATTACAGGCCCTATGAACGCGCTACTAAATGCCCTACGCCCAAAGAAGTACAGGAGCTTCTTTGGGGCGTATTTGCCACGCGTATCCATTAGGATACAGCCAGGTAGCCCTTGGAAACACGCGTTTGTTGTGCGTTTTTTACCGCAAATCGCAAGTGCCGTGCGACAAACGCGCATATTTGATACACCTAGGTGTGAACCCAGCCTAAGGCCGCTGTTTTAATTTTTCTCATTTATTTACAAGGCAGCTACAGAAAAATATGTTTCCTCCCCTGTGTGGTTTTTTATTTCTGCCTAGGTTGCTGTTGCAAATTTTCTCTCACTTTCCATCTAGTGAAACCATTAGTAAGGTAGTGAGGGTAAATCTCTCTAATGAAGCCCCAAGGTAGCAGTAAAAAACAGTCAGGGGCCTTATCCTTCACCCACCCCAGTCCCCCCATCCACCACCCCAGTCCCCCCATCCACCCCCCCAGCCCCCCCATCCAAAACTAGAAAACAAATTTGACTTGGCATACACCAATCACAACTGAGCCCATGCAATATGCCATCTCCAGTGATTGTAAATGTGCAGGCTTATTAATTAAACACTTAACCCTCCTATTTGACTTTGCTTTGTCTTACTTTTTCAGCTTTTAGAGCTGAGAGTCAGAATTGAGAGGTCCTCTGAGGTTTGACACTTGCTGCTCTATGCCTGACTGACCTGATCCTGATAACACAGCCTGGGTCCCCGGCCTTGAAGCTGACCATACATTATTGATTTTTTTTTGCAGCCTAAATTAGAAAAATACAAAATTCTTCCATCCACGCTAAAAAGTATGGATGGGGAAATCTCCCCCACCGCCTATTATATTCTGGCAGCCGCTTCTGTAGCTGTCAGAATATCCAAACAGAGACTACAGCTGAAAATGTTGTCCCAGCTCCTTTGGAAAACAAAGTGGTGCCAGCAAGGCCACCCACAGCTTGAAATTTGACCAGTTCAGCAGGACTCGGCTGAAATTTGAGCAGTGAGCAGCCAGCTTTAGTGTGTATAAATTGTATATTGCCTTGTGGTTAAGAGGAATGTAAACAATTACAGTGTTTTGTTCTGACTTGTTCTGATTTTTGTTATTCCTCTGAAGGATCAGTCTTTTTTTCACCTGTCTACACCTCTGCCAGGTCCACAAGGAACCGCGCAGCCGCTGCTGCCAAATTTCCGCTCAGATCCGTACTTGTGCACATGCTAGGAAAAATCACAAATATTCCTATGCCATGGCCATCTATTGTTGTGGCACATGACAGGCAACGCTATATAGAAGTGGATAGGATTTTTCAATGCACAGGGAGAAGTAGATCAGCCGGGAGAGTATACGGTGCTTGTGGGCCGCACATCATGGATCTGGCAGTAGAGTAGAAAGATGAGTATAGACTTTAAAAGGTTATGGGGGGATCTAAAAGGATAATTATATGAAGTATATTCTTTTTTAATCTTCATCCCAAAATCTCTGGGTTCTGTACTGTTGAGGTTTATCTTAAATCTGTTCATGGGGATATGATAGAATTATGATTATTTGCTTTTGTATGGTAATGTTTAGAAAAGAAATATGAAGTAATAAATCATTTCTTAATTACTGCTCTCTTTTCAGATCTGGGACCTGAGTGATGACGAAGTGATATAAATGGATCGATTCCACCTTCCTGTCTATTTTTTCCAGGCTGCAAATAAATACAGTATGCTCTTTGTCTCTCTCTATTAAATCTTATATAATGATCTTACCCTGGATGAAATTCTGCTTTTTATTGCTGCACACTAAATCGTTAAATTCATTTGGAGTCTGATATTAATTCCCAGATACCATCTCTTTCTGAAGATGAAAGATGGCCTTTGATGTTTCCCTGTAAATATATACCTGTAAAATAAAATGATCTAAGATTCAGAACAGATATATAAATATCTACAGACTGAGACAGAATTTGAAAGGATGTGTGATATAAATAGAAATATGTGTTACTAAAATCTATAATCTATGGAGACATGTCCCAAAATATAGTGATAACATTATTATAAACTCTTATTTAACCCGCTGCTTACCAGTATACTACAAATGTATTTTATGAAAATGAACAAATGTTTATGGGGGAGATTTACAAAGACTCGATCAACACTTTTTCATCCTATATCTGTATTTTGTTCTTTTTTTTTACAGTTGTAGGATATTTTATACATTGTATTCTTATCATGTGTATTACTACAAGAGCAAAGCAAAGTATTAATATTTTCCAACGGCAAAGCCTTTTTCATACTTTGCCCATTTCCTCCATGCAGAGTATTGTATTCATATGTAATGTAGTCTAAAGGTCTATTGCCTTTATTGCATTAGGTTTATGCCAGACAGTTGTATAATGTATTCTTCTGCTTTTAGGGCTTAAATCATTTCAAATATGATCGATGCTGAATGCCAAAAAACAGAGAGCTCCAGGATTGTAGTATCTTGGATTAGGGAGTGATGCGGTTGATGATGTCATTTACACTTACCTCAATTGAGAATCAATGCAGAAGGTTTCGGCAAGACCCAAAATGTGCAACTGAAGGTCCTCGTATTGACATGCCGGGACCCAAAATGTGCACCTGAAGATTTTTGTATTGGGGACATTACTATAAGGGTGGAGGTCCAATATTACACTCACCTTTTCCTGATCCAGAGATCTTGCTATCCTGGAGTTCTGCTTAAAGCCCTGTGTATAACGTCATCAAAAAGGGGTATTCAGCATGCATTCAGGAGTACAAAATTGTTCTTTATAATAGATTAGCTTTATTGATATATCAAGCAACTTTGCAAGAATAAGCTTTTACATCGTTTTCTTTCCATGTGCATTGAGGGCCGTCGACACAGGTCCAGACCAGTGTAAGTATTGAATTGTTTATTTTCTGCTTCTCTGTGTCTATACTGTAACTGCAGACAAGGACTGAAAACAAGAAAGGAATCTTCTCCACTTTCTTGTTTGATTTCAATATCTTCAGTAACAGGAAACATAAATAATTATTTCAGTTCTGCACTGCACTCATGTAATCTGTGGAGATCGCAACTGCTTAAATCAGGCAGCCCCTGCATATGTTTACCTAAGCCCTGCCCATCCTCTATTCCATGTGATTCCAGCCATGTAATTGTGAAAAGCACAATGCAAATCTAGAAGGATCCCCGATGCCATTCTTGTTCTTTTTCCTGAGATAGGCGTGTACTGTGTGCAATGTAATTAAGCAGGATGTGTTTCATTAAGTTTGTGATCACCAGTGATGTTTATAAGCGCAGCATAACGTTTATCATTTATGGCTCTTGGCAATGCAGACATTGAATGTCAGAGGTATTTGGATCACAGGCCTTACTTGTTCTCACTTTTTGTCTGTAGTTACCTTTGAGATGCGGACAAGCTGAATGTGAACATTGCAGTGTTTACACTGGTGTAGACTTGTGATGATTGCTTTCAAAGAACAGGGAAAGAAAATTGCAGAAGTAAGAGGGTATATTTTCTAGGTTTATTGGCATCACTGAATATATTAAAATGCATCAATGGGTTTAAAACTATAGCTACCTTTTACATAGTTAACATATATCTAGTTTAACAGTCACGCCGGGATGGATGGACATTATAACAAAAGGGCTGAATTACTTATTTTGGGGGGAAAAATGCACTCCACATAGAAAGCACTAAAGGGAGCCTAGAGCAGTGTTTTCTCCAGAAGAAGTAGGCATTTCAGCTCTCCTATTACTTTTTTTTATCAGTTAACATAGCTTTAAGTTAGCATTTGACCAAAGGTCTGCAATAGCTTGTGACAAAGCCGCACATATTAGAGAGATGCTGCTGGGTGGCTCTTTAGCAGCTTCAGTGCTTGGAAAATAAGGTTGATTTTACCTTCAAGGAAGTTGTGAGTGGCTTTGTCACAAACTATTGTGGTGTATAGGAGTAACAGAGACCATGGAAGAGAGCCCACCCATGAGCCAAAGAGGAGTATATCAGTGCTCTGTGGAGCGGCTTCAAATGGTTGTGAGTAGTGACTAAAGGTCTGCTTTAATTACTGGTTCAGTGTGCTTTCTTCTATCATATCAACAATTAGAACAGAAATATGTTACCTAAGGGACTGTAAGCCATAAAGATCTCTAAAACCTTCGATTTCTTTGCACACTTCCCCTCACCAAATTAGGACTGGAAGTATCTCTCTACTACGATGTTATTTTTAATTAACAAAATGATTCAAAGTCAGTTAAAACTCTTAGTTAAGGTTCAGTTCCTCCCAAAAGGCTGTTTTGCTTTTTTTAACTGCTGTCTAGTTAAATTACACACTCATTTTTTTATATTTTATGACATTTTCAGGGACGCGGTAACCATTATAACTGCTTGGAAAAGGTTTTTGGTTTTTTTTGCCCCTTTTTCTTTTTACTAGAAGTAATCCTGTTAAGAAAAAAAAAAAGTTTTGAGTCTTTTAAACTCATATTTGCATTTTATGTGATTTCATTTAAATGTTTACAGATATGCAATAAAACTTAAGAGAATGCCGGTTGCAACAATAGTATATTGGAATATGGGCAGTAGCCTAGGGGTGGTGACCGTAAGGAGGAACAGAACTTTTTTAATGTTATATTTTTTTATATTGCTCTGCTCAGCATTCTTCATATCAAAAGTATAACATAGATCTCTGCAAAACGACTGAAATTAGTTTCAATGTTATATATATACATCATATATATATATATATATACATCATATATATATATATATACATATCTTGGCACAATGCAGTCAGGCAAGTACTGTTCTCCTGGCAACCGCCAAACCAAGACACGTCCATTGGATTGCCAGACAGAGAAGCGTGATTTGTCACTCCAGTGAACACGTCTCTACTTCTCTAGAGTCCAGTGGCGGCGTGCTTCACACCACTGCATCCAACGTTTGTATTGCACTTGGTGATGTAAGACTTGGATGCAGCAGCTCGATTATGTGTCTGAGGGTTTGGGCTTGGGGTCCCTTTAAAGGGGTAGGGCGATATCAAAAATATATATATGTGTCTATATATTGTGACAGGGTACATGACTCTGTGTATGTCAGTGAGAGGTTGTAAAGGGCAACTTACCCTGGCTAGGAAGTGGTTAAGCCTGGCCCCGACAGGTACACCTCTCTCTATTAATTATCCTGCACCTGATAGTGACTGGAGGGGGAGAGAGCTCAGAGCGAGATCCAGGCTGCACTGGATGAACACAGACTGGAGAGCGTCTGAATATCTCTGGGAAAAGGTCTGGCTCACCGTGGTATGTTAAAGACTGTGTTTTCTTTATGCTTCTTTTGGTACTGGAAGCTGGAATAGCCGCTCCAGTAAAAAGTAGTCAGGGAATTTACTGTTAGACTCCTAAGTTGGAGTAGGCCTTTTATTTTGTGTTACAGCTGCCAGAAGCTGTTTTGTTAAATAGGGAGAAAGCACCCTATTGAAGGAGACTGTTCATTATGATTCACACTAAATGTGCATATACTTAAACCTCCTGAGTACAGACCAGTGACTTTCTTACGATATGTATTTTGTATAGTAATAGGAATAGAACGGGAATGGACACATAATTTTCTGGTATTGTGCACGTGTGTGTTGTGAACGCATATGTTTGACTGTTAAGGTGGGTCGGGATTTGACAGAAAAAAAAGAAATATAGTATGGGGGAGTGGTAGGCTGTTGTATACTTCGGGGGGTGTCGTTGCATCGGTGGTTCATTGCTGCGGTGTGCAAGGTGGGCGGCTGCAGGGGGGTTTTGTTGTGTTTTCCATCTACTCGCAGGTTCTGTGTCAGTGGTGGAGCTCTTCGGTTCCCCGTGGGAATTTTCGCTCCATTTCGTCAGGTGTGTGTAACTCGGATTACGTTTTTGTTTCGTTGCACGCACGCACGAACGCACTACGTTGCGCGTTACACCATGCTACTTCACATACACTAGGCGTAGGTTTTCTGTTTTCCGTTTGGTTTCTTGCTGACACATATGATTGGGGACGCATCTCCTTCACATAGTGTTTCCCCAGACCTGGGGTCGGGGGGCTCTGAGTGTTGTAGTTGTTTGGTTAGTGCCCTCCTTTTCCTTGAGCCCCCTGCTCATACGTCATACGATACCTCTCCATCACACCTTCATTGGGGTCATCTTTCTTTGTTCCTGTCCTAGTCGTTGTTTACCACGTCTCCCACAACCAAATAAAAAAATGAAAATATAAAATGAATGCTGGGTTGGGTGAATGCTGGGTTGGTTCGCGCCCTCAGCACTGCCCTCTAGGCTCTAGTTAGCTACATCCGACACAGGCCTCATTTCGCCCCACGTTTCTGTTCGGTACGTTTTTTTTTGTTCGTGGTCTGGTTCCTGTACGTTCTGCAGGTGACGGTTGCTATCCCTTTTTTCTGTCTGTCTCATTTCGATTTGTCGTTTCAGCTATACGGTCATGTCACGGCCTTTGGACATCGTGGGCTATGTCTCCATCCTGCCGTCCCCGGCCAGGGGATCCGGACATGGCAGTGCTTCCTCCCCGCGTTCCTGGACTATTCCCCGACTGACGGCCGAGCTCCGGCGCAGGGGGATCCCATTCCCGGCAACGGCTCAACAGGCGGAACTTTTCGTTAGTTCTCTTCTATCGCGGATCAGGTGTCTTTGCTGTCCATGGCTACCTCCCTAGCTCAGATCCATGTGCTCTTGAATTCGCTCAATTCTTCGGTGCGGGACCTGCAAGCTGGGATAGAGTCTGTGGAGCAGCACGTCTCCGGCTTCAAGGAGGAGGCCGCTGTGGCGGCGCCTGCAGCTCCGCCCGCGCCCTCTGGTATTACCTCTGCTTTGCCCACGGTCACCAGGGCCTTAGTCAGTCTGGTACGGCTACTGGGAGGGAGCTGCAATCGTTGCTGGGGATGCTTACTTTTGCCATG